AATTGGCTACTAAATTGTAATCGTATGATTCAAGAAAGTGAAATAAAATATAACAATGATATTATTTTTGCCATTACTTTGTTGTTGACAAATCAAACTCAAAAAAGATATTATTCTAAAAAAAAGTTTTGGGTTGCACCGCTGTTTCAAAATCGTAACGAGCACGGCTTTTATAAAGCTACCTTACCATATATAAGATTAGAAAGTGCAATTTTATTAATTATTTTCGCATGTCATCAACACAATTGGAAGATTTGTTACAAATTGTTGCACTAAAACTCCAGAAGCAGACATTTATGAGAGAGCCTGTCAGTGCTGAAGAACGTTTGTGTTTAACTTTAAGGTTTGTTTTATTACATTTTTTAAATAAACAAAAAATATAAAAGCGACATATAGACATCTGATTATATGGATAATTTAAAATTTATTACTAACACACTATTGTCTTTCACATATAGATATTTGGCTTCTGGCGACTCAATGATATCGATGTCATATCAATATTTATTAGGATATACAACAATATGCAACATCATATCTGAAACGTGTGAAATACTTTAGAATATGTTGTGTCCAGTTGTTCTTCCACCTTCTTTGACCAAAGAAGATTGACTTCGTATTGCAGCAGATTTCGAACATCGATGCAATTTTCCGCATTGTATTGGTGCCCTTGACGGAAAACATATTGTTCTTCAAGTATGAATTTCATTAATATTATCATATAGATATTACATTTCTGATATTTCTGATTTTTAAGTCAAATACAATTATTATAATATTTTTTCAGTGTCCTGCTAATGCTGGTTCTATGTATTATAATTACAAAAACAGTTACAGTATTATTTTAATGACAATATGTGATGCTAATTATTTATTTACATTTATCGACATAGGAGCCTATGGTAGACGCAGTGATGGTGGCATTTTCAAAGAATGCCAGTTTGGTAAAAAATTCGAACAAAAGAAGATGGATGTACCAGATGCGGATATTATTTCTGAAAATGGTCCCAATGGAAGAGGCGGACTGACCAAAGAGAAAAATATCTTTAATTATAGACTGAGCCGTGCTAGGCAAATTATTGAAAACACATTTGGGATTCTTGCTAGCTAATGGCGAATATTGAGAAAGCCAATAATTGCAAAAGTAGAAACTGTAGAAAAAATTGTGCAAGCCATTGTGTGTTTGCACAACTGGTTACGCAAAAAGGACATTAACGTTAATGAATACGTACCTGTAAATATGGTTGATCATTTTGATGATCATAATAGCTTTATACCTGGCACTTGGAGAACGGTTCTTGAAAATGGTTCTGCTTATCGTAAAATACAACGAGTAGGATTATACATGAGCACTCAAAAAAATATAGAAATGCGAGATAAGTTTTGCTCATATTTTAATAATGAAGGCTCTGTACCATGGCAAAATAGGTTTTGCTGAAAATGTATTTTGAAATATATAAAATATAACATCTTATATGCTCTTATTCTTGATATGCATACACACATATATATATATATATATATATATATATATATATTTATATCATTATTTATAAGAATGCTACAATAAAAACGCTAAATAATAGAGAAAGATGTTTATTTGTTATTTAATTACTTATTATTGCATTTTAAAATAATAATAAAATAAACTTAGTATAAACTATATGAAAATAAACTTTAGTATAAGCTGTATATACTATATAACATGTTTATAATAGTATTATGATAAAATATAATAATATATACTATTATCACATATCAAAAAATGAAGATTAAATAAAAAACTTAATGTTCAGTCTCCTTTATGAGATCATATGTTATTTGAAATAGTTTCTGCGCTGCATCGTCCAACATATTTCGTGGAAGTTTCCTCAATCTTTGTTCAACTACGGACACAATTGCGTCCACTTCATCGTTTTGCGGAGGATCAGGCAAAGTAATTGGTGCCTGTTTATTTCTTTCACAAAAAGCATCAGCAATTCTATCAAGTGCCGAGTTAAAATTTTTTTTATTTGTGCTTTGTTTCTTATTATAGTCTGGAAAAAGACAGTATACTTAATATATAATATAGGTAATATTATATTTATATATAATATATTATAGATAAAACATACTTTGTTATCTATTTTCTTCACTTTGCTGTCTATTTTCTTCTGCATCTTCATCAATAGTAGTAGTCGAGTCATCATCAGCATCAGTTCGCAGTGACACATTTGATTTCGTTCTATTAACAGTTAAGTATTTTTTTTATATTGTTTTATATATATTTATTTTTTATATATTTTTTATATAATTTATTTTCTAATTTATTAATATATATTTAATTAATTAATTTTTTATTTATTTAATTAATTTTTAGTTATTTATTTCTTATTATATTAGACAATGTTAAAAGATGTAGACATTTTATTATAAGTGTTCCGGAGGTACAATATAATAAAAAAATACTTACGGTTTCTGTAAGCACGAGTCGCGTAAAAATGATAAATTGTCATAGTGCTGCCACTTGCTTTTCTTAGCAGGTCTTTCCAATCCACTTGCTAATGATTCGGTGCTGATGATTCTTTTATATGTATCATGCAATGACTTGAATTTTGCTTTTGCTTCAGTTTGTGATAGTTTTCCTAGAAAATCATTTTATTAATAGATTTATATTTAAGAGTTGCATACTGTTCTTGTAATAATTTTGTTATCGATTGAATATATATACTTTGTTGTTTTTGCTTCAGTTTGTGAGTTTTCCTAGAAAATCATTTTATTAATAGATTTATATTTAAGAGTTGCATACTCTTCTTGTAATAATTTTGTTATCGATTGAATATATACTTTGCTTACCATTCAAAGCTTCGGAGACCTCTTTCCACAATTGTGCAGTAGCTTTTCTACTACGAAGTGATAGCTCAATTTGTGGATTCCATAAAGGTTCGCGTGCATGTACTTCAAAAATTAGTTGCTCTTCCAGTTCAAGCAATTTCTGTTTTTCATCGACATTCAATTTCTTTCTTAGATTTTTTCTTTTATTTGTTAGTATTGATGATGAGCTTTCTTGAACTGTTAACTCTTGATTGTCAACTAAACTTCGTCGTAATATACTTCCATCTTCTACAAATTGTAACAAGATAAAATATTTTTAAATATTATTTTAAACAGATATATATATAATAGATATTACTTTTATATTACTTTTACATACCACACACGGGATAAAAATAACAAGTATTTTCATCCATATAATATTCAGTATATCCTTCAAGGCACTTGTGTTTTGTGAAGTTATCTGCATCGCATATAATCTCACATAGTCCACATGTCATGACTGGCACCAATGTCTATAGCATTAAAAATACATTTACACTTCATAGTTATACATATATGTTTAGAAATATTGACATTTTTTCTTTTACATTTAAAGATATAAATGGCTTTATTATTTCATTTTAAAACAAAATATTTACATAACATATATATCTATTACAAGTTATTTCAATCAAGCACAATTGTTTCAGTTAAACACTATTATAAAAATAGCTTATTTTATGTATATATATTTACTTCTTCATGTTCATCTTCCTCGAATGAATTCATCTTTGCATCTTCCACGTATTCTTTAACAATTCTTGGTTCTGTTTGCAATAACGTTTGTATTAACGTGTAAATTATGTTATAAATATGTATTAATATTATAAATAAATATATATTTATATATTATAAATATGTATTACTTATTATTTATGTGTCGTTAACCGTCGAGTAATTTGTGGTTATGTTTTCTTCAGTATACACGACACTATCAACAGTGCATCAGCGTTTGAGCAGTAAATGCTTTGTAGTTGAACTGATTCAAACTACAAAATTGTTGGCGCTGGATTACGAGCGACAAATTTGTCGCTTCAACCGCTAGTTTTAGCGGCACGTGAAATTGCGCCTTTATTCGTTAAAAAGTTATTAACAAAAAAAGTTTGGAAAATACGTAGTTTAGATGACGCGCTTTACAAATATTTAACTGTTTAAAGTGCGTCACTAATCTACATAGGTTAGATGACGCGCTTTAACAGTATTTAATTGTTTAAAGCGCGTCAACTAACCCATGCGTAAACCATTTCGGGGCTACCGCACCTCCCCCGAAAGCAGGGGGGTGTGGGTGAACCTCGGTTAAAAGCCGGTGAAATACCACTACTTTCATCGTTTCCTTACTTACTCGGTTAGGCGGAGCGCGTGCCCCGAGGGCTTCGTGCCCCGGCGGTCACGGTGTTCTAGAGCCAAGCGTGTCAGAGTGGCGTGAGGCCTCGCGGCCGATCGCCGTTAATACTCCCGCGTGATCCGATTCGAGGACACTGCCAGGCGGGGAGTTTGACTGGGGCGGTACATCTGTCAAAGAATAAGGTGTCCTAAGGCCAGCTCAGCAAGGACAGAAACCTCGCGTAGAGCAAAAGGGCAAAAGCTGGCTTGATCTCGATGTTCAGTACGCATAGAGACTGCAAAAGCCTATCGATCCTTTTGGCTTGAAGAGTTTTCAGCAAGAGGTGTCAGAAAAGTTACCACAGAGATAACTGGCTTGTGGCGGCCAAGCGTTCATTGCGACGTCGCTTTTTGATCCTCAAGGACAGAGCGTCACGCTTAAAGAAGTGCATAACAACAAACATCAGATGGGCACACGCACACATGCGCGCACGTCCAACGCGCGACGCTCTGCATTTGTTTACGGCGCGCATTTCAAACGCCACGCTCGATCTGACTCGCGCGTTGAGTCAAAAATCATGATCAACCTGGGTTTTGCAGGGGCCAGGGCAAATCAGCCGGGTATTTTCTGAAAGGGAATTTGATGCCCTTTCGAATGAAACAAGTTTCGTCCATAAAAACGATAGACCCAAATCGCTTAGAAATCCAATTGTTAATAAATTTTTATTGCTCATAACGCAGGGGGTACGAGTTTGGCTGACAATCGTTTATGATAATACGACTTATAAACTACCTTTTGCAAGTAAATTTATCCATAAAAGCGATAGACCCAAATTTTTGCGGTGGGCTCTCGCACTAGTATGCGTGAACTATTTCGGGGCTACCGCACCTCCCCCGAAAGCAGGGGGGGTGTGGGTAAACCTCGGTATGCGTGGAAAGTGTATGCGTGAACTTTTCATGCGTGGAAAGTTAATATGCGAGATGCCACATGGGTTAGATGACGCGCTTTAAAAATATTCAACTGCTTAAAGCGCGTCATCTAACCCATGTAAGTATTCTCTGCTTTAACAAAAATACTTCAATTTATCAACAATTTACTGCTTTAAATGTTGTGTTTTGGTAAAGCAGCGACTTTCTCGCGAAATAAAGTATTCCCTGCTTTAAAGAAAAACGTAATATTAGTCGTTTATGCCTCTCAGTACTTAAAATAACTGCTATATTTTCGAAACTTTTTTTGTTTATAACTTTTTAATAAGAAGCGACCCCCGACTAAAACCTTCTGAAGGTCACTCAGAAGGGTGACCTTGATAATATATGTCAAGGTCAAGGACATCGGAGGTCAGACCCTAATTGTAAACATTTACCGAAATTAGCATTAATCTTAACAAAATCGACCGGGATGCGTCCCATTGGTCGTAGTGACTCGACATTCCGTCGTAACTGTCGATAATGCGAAATCATAAATGAACGTTAAATCGTTTCGGACGGAAGCTATTGGTCCTCGTTTGTACGAATTATCGCAATACGCGTAAAAATCTTATGATACGGTTCACTGCTCCTCGGGAACCAATCGTAGCTCAATATCAAGACTTGATAGTAAAATATACAACGTGTATAGTGTAAATATTGTGGCGACTGTGGGTATGTCTGGAAATGTCAAAATGGCAGGATAAAGATGATTAGGGTAACTACTATGTATTCTTTCAGCTTCATGGTGATGATCTTTATCTTTTAAGGTAAGTAATATGGTTCTGCTTTCGCAACGTGTGAGTACGCTAATAACAGAATGTAAACGATTGATATCGCGAATAATATGAAT